TTAGTAACCCTTCCAAGTTGACATTGAAAAAAAGGGACTGACGAGCTTCTACATGCAGTCCTCAGCTTAACGACCGTTCATTTAGTGACCATTTCAAAGCTAACACTGAAAAAAGGGACCTTTGCAAGCAGCGTTCCCATGATCGCATGATCCAAATTCAGATACTTGCCAACTGGTTTATGTTTATGACCAGTTGCTATGTCCCAAGGTCCTGGGATCGATCCCCTTTTGCGACATTCAGACAAGCCAATTCAATGGGGAAACCAGATTCACTTTAACAACCAGGTTACTAACTTAAGAACCGCAGTGATTCACTTAACAACTGCGGGCAAGAAACGTGGCAAAATGGGCTAAAATTCACAATTGCAGTGTCCCGGGGGGGGGGGGGGGGGGGGTCACATGATCATTTTTTGAATCCTTCTGATAAGCAAAGTCAATGGGGAAGCCAGGTTCACTTAACCAGGTTACTAATTTAACCACTGCTGTGCTTCCCCTTAGCCACTGAGGTGAGACAGGTCGTAAAATGGGGCAAAACCCGCTTAGTGAAGGTCTCGCTTAGCAACAGAAATGTTGGGGCTCGATTGTAGTCGTAAGCCGAGGACTTACCTGTGGTGCCTGAACCACCTCAGGACAAGCAGGTGGCCCTTTTCCCTTGGAGTGGCCGGTCCAGTCCTGCCTTGCAAGGGGCTGCAGGGGACGGCTCCTTCTCTTTTGAGCCCCCACCAGGAATCAATGATTTGGGTTAGCTGGTGGCAAAGGCCTCTGAGAGGATGGATCAACCTTTGGCTGATATTGTTCTTTCTGCATTCTCTGTTCCTGGGATGAGATGGGCACAGATTCAGTCATTGAAATAAGTCAATAAATAAAAGCATCAGTAAATACAGGTTGTCCTGAACTTATAACAATTCATTTCGGGACAATTCATTCGAAGTTACGACAACAGCACTGAAAAAAAAGTGACCTATGACCATTTTTTTTTACACAACCATTACAGCATCCACATTTCTCACTTAGCAACATCACTTTGGGGGCTCAACTGTGGTCATAAGGTGAGGACTACCTGCATATTTATTCTTTGCTTTTGCAGAGGTGGTTTGATTGAAGACTCCTGCCTCAGTTGAGATTTGACCCAGGACTTTTCAGTCAAGGGTGAGTCTTACCGCCTCCCTTCCTTTTCTTGGACCCATATAGAGAGAGACCCACAAAAATAGCTGTTGAATGATATGATAGAAAAGCTTTTTTTAAAAAATCCTATTTTTAAAAGAATTCCCTTCCCATCTTTTTAAAAAAGGTTGTAATATCTGGATAGAAAATGTCAGGAATATTTGCTCTTATTGTTGAAAACCCTTTTTAGGCCTTTTAGATATTTTACTTTACTTTACTTCACTTTTTGTCATTGCACCTCGTACAACGAAATCAAACCCCACCTTCAGTGCACATCATGACCATGACCATGAAAATAAACACATCCTTCACCCTCCACACATTGAATCTAAAACCCCTGACACCACACCAACATTGCACTATACAGCAGAATTCAACAGAGCAACTGACCTGGGCTAAAAGCTGTTTTTCAGCCTATTTGCCCTTGTTTTTATTCTCTTGTATCGTTCCCGGGTTCCCGGGATGAGATGGATTTTTGAGAATGTTTTGAACTTTCTTAAGGCAGCGGGAGCTATAAAGCTCTTCCAAAGAGGGGAGAGGGCAACCCGTGATCCTCTGGGCAATGACGTTAACCCTCTGGAGCGCTTTCCTATCTGCCACGGTGCAACTGGCAAACCATACAGAGCTGCAATATGTTAAAATGCTCTCTGTGGTGCAGCGGTAGAAGGTCACCAGCAGCTTTTCAATATTATGTCTTAATTCTGAATTTGGAAGGGTACAATCGGCTGTGAAAGCAATGGATGAGCCAAGAGCTGCTGAGACGGATCGGGAACCAGGAGGAACGGAAAAAAACACCAGTGGAGTTTATCACCAGCATAAGACGGAGCGCCTGGGATGGGGAGCGTCCCAACCTTGCCGAAGGGAGACCCGTCACAGGATGCAGGGGCGCTGGGAAGCGCAGCTCCAGCAGTTCCTGAAATCTGTGCAGCCCATTTTAGCAGGACGGGGAAGCTCTGGGACGTCGGAGGCTTCTCCCTGGGAGGACACCAAGGAGTTTCTGGCCTCCTTTGAGCAAGTGGCCACAGCTTGCCGATGGCCTCGGGACCAGTGGGCGGCCCACCTCCTGCCAGCCCTGAGCGGAGAAGCGGAAGAGGCCTTCCGAGGCCTGGAAGCCAGAGAGCAGGAGAGCTATGAGAAGGTGAAGGCCGCCATCTTACGGGCGGAAGCCCTGAGAACGGAGAGGCAGCGGCAGCATTTTCGGCAGTTCTGCTGCCAAGTGGTAGAGGATCCCCGGAGGATCCACAGCCAACTCCGGGAGCTTTGCCGCCAGTGGCTGAAGCCGGAGAGACGCACCAAGGAGCAGATCCTGGAGCTGCTGATCCTGGAGCAGTTCCTGGCCAGCCTCCCACCGGAGCTTCGGAGTTGGATCCAAGCCAGGAGGCCGGAGTCATGTTCCCAGGCGGTGGCCCTGGTGGAGGACTTCCTGAGGAGTCAACAGGAGGCCAAGACCAGGATATCTCAGGTGGGTTTTACTATCCAGATCTTGGTGTATTTATTTAGCAAGTGCGATTTAGTGATTAAGACCAGGAGACTCCTCTAAGTTAGGTACAAAAGCCAGTTGGATGATTTTGGGGCCACTTACTCTCTCAGCCCAACCCACTTCCCAGCAATGTTTTTGTAAAGAAAATAGGGGGAAGGAGTTGTATGTAAAGTCACCACATTGAGTTTACTTGTAAAGTAACAAAGCTTTACAAATACCCTTATCAAATTTCTGCACCGCCCGTCTCATCTAAGTGTCTCTGGCCAATTGATACACAGTAATGTTATAAAACATGACTAAAAGCAACATGAAAAAACCGAGATTAACATTTACAAGTGAAAAGCGGCAATCAAGAGTTATAAAATTCAGACAGCTCAAAGGTTAACAAGGCGGAGGGAATGCCCTCAAGCCGCCAACCATCCCCAGGGTTGTGTAACACTTTTAAACACCCCTCCCCCCCCACATGCTAATTGGGAGAGCCCGCTCTTAACACTTCTCCAGAATACCAAAAATGGGGTCTCATCTCCCCTCTGAAGTTTAGATGTTCCAAAGAGCAGAGCAAACTGCAGAGAAAATCTTCTTCCTGGTAGTCAAAATTCATTAAACAATGATTGTCTGGGTGGGTCGTTAGAGACCCTCATCCTGTAACACAGTGGTCCCCAACCACCGGGCCCCGGACCGGTACCAGTCCGTGGAGCATTTTTTACCGGGCCGCAAAGAAGTGGGCGCCGCCATCTTGTTTTGACGGCGCTTGAGAAAGTGCTTCCGGGTGAGCTTGTCGGCCGTCGATTGGAAAGCGGCGTTTGGGTGCTGAATCCTCGCGCCTTAGTTTCGTCGAGGGTGGGGGCGGCTTCGAACGAAGAGCCGTCCCGATGGCGGTGGAGTCTCGTGTTACTCAGGAGGAGATTAAGAAAGAGCCCGAAAAGCCCATCGACAAAGGTACAAAGGAGGAGTTGAAGGTGGCAGGGAGAAGCGGGGGACGGCTGGCTGGCCGGTCGCTCGGCTCGCCTTGCCTTGGTTGTGCGTGCTGATGCCGGTATCAGTCCATGGATCATTTTGTGATGCCGGTACCGGTCCGTGGGACAAAAAAAGGTTGGGGGCCACTGCACATGAAGGGCTTTAAAGGTGATAACCAGCACCTTGAATTGGACCCAGAAGCAAACTGACACCAGTTCTTAGCAGATTACATAGAGCTGGTATTGAATCACCCTCGGATATTAATTGAAAACCAATTTACAGTGATGAAATGCAGCTTGCCTTTTTAAGTTCATGGCCCACCAGAATCGATTCACAGTGTCTGGAAAACCAGGTGCTGGCCTAGCTACCAAGAGACTGATTTCTAGGCCTGATTTTAAGTACATCAAAGGAACAGGGTGACTTTGGGCCAATCACTCTCTCATGGCCCTCCCAACCTCACTGGGTTGTTGTTGTGGGGAAAACAGGAACCAGGAGTATTAGGAGTGTTAACAGCCTTGAGCTGCATATGAAAAAGAGACAAATACAACATTCAACTGTACACCAACATTGTTATGGTGACTATTAGCAGTATGTATTTTTTTTATATTTAAACCTTTAATTGTTACAAGGAGCTGATTACTTATTGGAATATTAACAGAGGGATACAATCAAGATGAAGGGAGGTACTAATACCACGCTATAAAGCCTTAGTAAGACCACACCTAGAGTACTGCATCCAGTTTGGGTCACCACATTATAAAAAAATACGTTGAGACTCTAGAAAAATGTGCAGAGAAGAGCAACCAGGATGATTAAGGGACTGGAGGCTAAAACATGAAGAACCGTTACAGGAACTGGACCTGGCTAATCTAGTGAAGAGAAGGACCAGGGGAGACATGATAGCGGTCTTCCAATATCTGAGGGGCTGCCCCAGAGAGGAAGGGGGTCAAGCTATTTTCTAGAGCACCCAAAGGCCAGACAAGGAATAATGGATGGAAACTGAACAAGGAGGATTTAACCTGGAAATAAGGAGAAACTTTCTGACAGAGAGAACTATCAACCCATGGAACAGAAGTTGCCCTCGGAAGTTGTGGGAGCTCCATCACTTGAGATTTTCAAGAAGAGATTGGACTGCCATCTGTCTGAAGTGGTGTAGGGTCTCCCGCTTGGGTGGGGGGTTGGATTAGATGACCTACAAGGTCCCTTCCAACTCTGATTATCTGTTATCTGAATGCTTTTCTCCTTTAATTTCATCCCAAGGTTTAGATCTGGTAGAGTTTAGAATAGAGTAGAATAGAATTCTTTATTGGCCAAGTGTGATTGGACACACAAGGAATTTGTCTTGGTGCAAATGCTCTCAGTGTGCATAAAAGAAAAGATACATTCGTCAAGAGTCAAGGTACAACAGTTAATGATAGTCATAGGGTACAATAAGCAATCAAATCATACTAGGAAACAGTCAATATAAATCGTTAGGATACAAGCCACAAAGTTAAAGTCATACAGTCACAAGTGGGAGGGGATGAGTGATAAGGAGTGATGAGAAGATTAATAGTAATAGTACTGCAGACTTTGTAAATAGTTGAATAGGGTTGAGGGAATTATTTGTTTAGCAGAGTGATGGCTTTCGGGAAAAAACTGTCCTTGTGTCTAGTTGTTCTGGAGTGCAGTGCTCTATAGCGTCGTTTTGAGGGAAGGAGTTGAAACAGTTTATATCCGGGATGTGAGGGGTCTGTAAATATTTTCACAGCCTTCTTTTTGACTCGTGCAGTATACTGGTCCTCAGTGGAAGGCAGGTGGGTAGTAATGGTTTTTTTCTGCAATCCTAATTACTCTCTGAAGTCTGTGTCTGCCTTGTTGGATTGCAGAACCAAACCAGACAGTTATAGAAGTGCAGATGACAAACTCAATAATTCCTCTGTCGAAGTGGATCAGCAGCTCCTTGGGCAGTTTGAGCTTTCTGAGTTGGCGCAGAAAGAATGCTTCAGATCTCATCAGTAAAGGATTGACATTTTACGAGACTTCCCAAATGTGTTCCACTCGTAGCTGGGTCAGCCCTGTGCAACAGCATTCTTCATCTGGTCCAGAAAGTCCTGACCCTGCTGAGCTTTGGCAGAGCTTAAAAACTTAGTTCTTTTAGCATGCCCTGGGGTAGGAGACAGTGATTTTTTTTTCCCATTTAAATGATTCGTATGGCTCCCCATCTCACAGCAGTGACTGTAGGCTGTATACAAAGGATCAAAACCATCCCCAAGAAAAACCAACAATCCAAAGGCTGCGTAGCACATGTCTGAGATCAAAGAAATCATTCCAATTATAGAAAGAAAGAAAAAAAAAAGCAAAGAACAATTACGGTAACTAGCAGAGTTTGCTCCATGGCCCCAACACCGGAGGCGGGTGGGGAACAGCCTGGTCCTTCAAGCCTTCTAGCGGGGCCATCTGACAGTGTTTCTCAACTTTGGCAGCTTTGAGATGTGTGAACTTCAATTCCCAGAAATGCTGCCAAGGCCAGCTGAGGAGGTCTGGGAGTTGAAGTCCACATGACTTTTAAGTTGCCAAATTGTGGGGGGAAAAACGGCTCTACCCTGGAGAGATGCTGTTTCACAAAGCAGACAGAGGGTCAGTGAAGGCACGTCGTCCCTTCAGTTCTATTATTAGCCTTCTCAGTTTTTTTTATACTGAGGTAAAGATGCTATAGGGGACGCGGTAGCTCAGTGGCTAAGATGCTGAGCTTGTCAATCAGAAAGGTTGGCGGTTCGAATCCCTAGCACCGCATGATAGAGTGAGCTCCCGTTCCTCGTCCCAGCTTCTGCCAACCTAGCAGTTCGAAAGCACGTAAAAATTGCAAGTAGAAAAATAGGGACCCCTTTGGTGGGAAGGTCACAGCGTTCTGTGCGCCTTTGGCGTTTAGTCATGCCAGTCACATGACCACGGAGACGTCTTCGGACAGCGCCGGCTCTTCAGCTTGGTAACGGAGATGAGCAATGGCGCCCCCTAGAGCCGGAAATGAGTAGCATGTATGTGCGAGGGGAACCTTTACCTTTAAAGAGGCTGTCTTTTCCCAAATATATTGATTGTATTTACAGGTAGTCCTTGGCTTATGACCACAATCGAGCCCCAAATTTCTATTGCTAAGTGAGACAGTTGCTAAATGAGTTTTGTCCCATTTCACGACCTTTCTTGCCGCCGCTGTTAAGTGGATCACTGCAGTTGTTAAGTTAGTAACCCGGTTGTTCAGTGGATCTGCTTTCCCATTGACTTTGCTTGTCAGAAGGTAGCAAAAAGTGATCACATAACCCCAGGACACTGCACTCATCATACATATGGATCAGTTGCCAAGCATCCAAATTTTGATCACATGACCGTGTGAAAAACAGTCACAAGTCACTTTTTCCTGTGCCGTTGTAACTTCAGTCACTAAACGAACTGTTGAAGGCGAGGACTTGGCTGTATTCTTCCTTGATTTTTCTTTCCTGTATTTTTAAAATTTTGCTACTTTTTAAAAATCCCAACGTATAAACTCCTGAAATTACTGTTCCATTTGACACATCAATCACACTGACAATGAAGCAGAAATATCGAATCCTTTTACACGTTTCCCCAATTTGTGAGGAAAAGAACCAGCGAATGCCATTTCTTCTCAAAGTAGCCTACAACGATGACCTTTATTAAATATATTCTTAGGATTTTTAAACTATAAGACAGATAACAGATAGTCAGAGTTGGAAGGGACCTTATAGGTCATCTAGTCCAACCCCCTACCCAAGCGGGAGACCCTACACCATTTCTGACAAATGGCAGTCCAGTCTCTTGAAGGTCTCAAGTGATGGCGCTCCCAAAACTTCCCAGTGCAAGCTGTTCCATTGATTGATTGTTCTCACTGTCAGAAAGTTTCTCCTTATTTCCATGTTGAATTTCCAGGTTAAATCTCTCCTTGTTCAGTTTCTATCCATTATTCCTTGTCTGGCTTACAGGTGCTTTAGAAAATAGATTGACCCCCTTCCTCTCTGTGACAGCCCCTCAGATATTGGAACACTGCTATCCTGTCTCCCCTGGTCCTTCTCTTCACTAGACCAGCCAGGCCCAGTTCCTGTAACGGTTCTTCATATATTTTAGTCTCCAGTCCCCTAATCATCCTGGTTGCTCTTCTCTGTACTTTTTCTAGAATCTCAACATCCTTTTTATAGTGTGGTGACCAAAACTAGATGCAGTACTCTAGGTGTAGTCTTACTAGGGCTTTATAGAGTGGTATTAGTACCTCACTTGATCTTCTCAATAATCTCCTCTCTAGAAGTTTTCCAGTGTATCAAAGGCTGTCCCTTTGAATTTTGAGCAGAGTTTGTGGGTACAAATGGTGTAGCTTTTGTCAGTTGTGTAACTGGTTTGTTGAACAGGTCTAATGCACTGGTTCCAAACAACCTGGCAAAATTAATCCTCCAAAGCACAGTGGCTGAGATCTTTTACCCTAAGCCACATTTTCAGTTATTACTACCCTGTTTCTCCAACAATACGGCCTCCCCCAATAGAAAGTCCCAGCATGTTTTATAGGCATGAAATGAAATTAAGCCCCTCCCCCCAAATTAAGGCCTATATTGAAACATGCGAAATGGGGGGGAATGGTGGTTGGGGGGCTTGCCGTTAGGAAGTACTTTTGTGGCACACCCGGATATGGTGCTGCCTGCGTTGACCCCGATACGAAGTGCCCCACCAACGCCGAGGTCAACATCCAAGCCATCGCCACCCGCCCGAAGATGCAAGGGGGGGGAATTAAGTCACCCCCGAAAAGACGGCCAAGCATTTTTTCGGGGCTCGAAAAAAAAAAAAGACCCGGCCTTATTATATGAGAAACACGGTATGTATACCTCTAGGCCAAGGGCAATATTTTTTATTTATGTATTTAGTTATATTTACTTATTAAATTTATATGCAGGGATGGTGAGTGTGTTGCAGATCACAAGAAACCTTTCTTTAAAAAACAAACTGCTAATACTGGGGTTGATCTCTGTTACTGAGTCTAACTAACTGATCTCGGAAGACCCACAAGAGAATACTCGTTTTTGGTAGAAAAATCAGAATACATTTTACACGTCAAGCCTGTTTTTTTTCCCCCATTTTGAGATTATATTTCCCTGCTTCAGGGGCGTTTAAAGGAAAAAAACGTGGATTTCCTACCGGCCGTTGCAGAGACAGAGGCCCCGAATGCCACAAAGGGACCCATCTACAGTGAAACAGATCCCGAGGCCGAGGCCAATTTGCTAGGTGAGAATTCATGGAACGTTTACATTTTCTTCTACATTCCCTTCTGCGGGGTTTGTTTTGTTTTGCTTGGCTTCACACTGTAGTGGGGTGCGGGGGGGGGGGGGCAAGGTTCCTTCAACCTCATCAGCCTTGCAGGAGAGATCATTTGGGAAGAGATCATTTGGGAAACGTAGCTTGAGGGTCAAGGATCAGGAAAGAAGCTACCCCCCCAACTGAATGTTTGAAGAAACATGTGCTATTCTTACGTCTGCGTAAAACTTTGGTTTTAACTACAGCCGTCTTTGTATCTCTGTGAAGGAGATGGGTGGTTTCTAAATTTGATAAATACAGGTAGTCCTCAACTTACGACAGTTCCTTTAGTGACCATTCGAAGTTACAACGGCCCTGAACAAAAGTGACTTATGACAGCAGGAGCTGCCTTGGTTGCCAGTTTGCTTCTGGGTGCAATTCAAGGTGCTGGTGGTCACCTTTAAAGCCCTTCATGGCTTGGGACCGGGTTATCTGAAGGAACGTCTCTTGCCTGTCACATCTACCCGACCCATCAGAGCAGGGAGGCAGGGAATGTTGCAGGTCCCATCCCCGAAGGAGATACTCCTGGTGGGACCCAGAAGAAGGGCCTTCTCCGTGGTGGCTCCCTCTCTCTGGAACATCATTCCCCCCAGACATTAAAATGGCTGCCACTCTAGCACTCTTTTGGAAGGCCCTGATGACCTGGTTTTGCCAGCGGGCCTGGGGAACTGAGAGCAGGATGGAGCCCATCCAATGGGTCGTGGTGATCTGCTGTCACCAGGGTAGGATGGGGAGTTATTTTGTTATATTGCACTATATTAATTGTAGAGTTGTAATTGCAGGAATGTTCCTATCTCGGATGGTAAACCTCAGATAAAGAGTGTTTACAAGCAAATACAACTCAGGCAAACAAAGTCACTAATCTAAAGGAGGATTAGAGAGAGGAAGTAAACATATGTTAGACTTTAACTAGAGATAATCAATTGTGTTAATTACTATTATGCTAAACAGTAACGAAAGTTAAGCAGTAACCAAAGTTAACCAATGTTGGAGGATAATTAAAAATGTGTATAAATGCAAGACTAGACTCCAATAAAGTCATCATGATTCAGTTGATCATGATCAAATAACTCGACTGCCTCGTCATTACAACAATTAATTTGATTTTTTTTTTTGTTAGTTTTCATTGTTTTGAGGGTGGGTTTTTTATTCTGTAAGCCGCCTTGAGTTGCCATGGACAAATAGGCAGCAATATAAATTTAATAAATAAATAAATTCAATAAATAAATAAATTCAATAAATAAATATCCAGTTTTGGTCACCACATTCCAAAAAAGATGTTGAGATTTTGGAAAAACTGCAGAGAAGAGCAACTAAGACGATTTAAACATGCTGTATTGCAGGGATGACTTTCAACTCATAAAAAAGTCCTGCTGGATTAATAAGACACTGAAATGGAGGCTCATTTGTCCTCTGGGACAGGACTGTGAGGTAGCAGGCTGTGCTAAATCCAGCCATTGGTTCGTTAGTGGTCCTGCTAGAGGCTTACAAAGTCCCAAAGGTGCCCCTTGGCCCCAATGTTTTGACCTTACTGCAGACCTGGTTCTGCCAGCGGGCCTGGGGGAAGCCGGAGCGGGATAGAGCCCATCAAATGGCGCGTGTGATCTGCTGTCGTCGGGGCAGGGGTAGGTGGGAGTTGGGGGGGGGTGATTTTTTTTTATTTTTTTTCCAGATTTAGTTCTATTGTACTTTATTAATTAATTGGATTCTTTTTGTTAGTTTTTACTGTTTTCTTTTTCTTTTTATCTTTTGTTTTAAATATGGTTTTACCTTGTGTAAGTCGCCTCGAGTCGCCTTGGGCGAGTAGGCGGCAATCTAAATTCAATAAATGAAATAAATAAATTGTCACCCTTATGGCCGTTGCAGCTTCCCCAACGGGCATGTGGTTCATATTTGGATGCTTGACAACTGACTCACTTTTATGACGGTTGCGGTGTCCTAGAGACGTGCGATCCCGTTTGGTGACCTTCTCACCAGCAAAGCCAAGGGGGAAGCCAGATTCACTTAACGACCGTTGTGACTAATTGAACAACTGCGGTGATTCTCTTAACAAAAGTGGCAAGAAGAGTTGTAAAATGGGGCAAAACTCACTTAACACATACATTTGGGGCTCAGTTATGGTCGTAAGTTGAGGGACTACCCGCCAATACCAGCATCTAAGTATGCCTTTATGATCTGAATCTTTATGATTGTGGTCTTTCTCAACAGGGCCCAGCAAAGGCTTATTAACAAAACGTCTCCTTAAAAATAGGAGAGACGACAACTCTTATTTTGAAATTCCCTCCTGAACTCTTTTCTGTTCTTTGTAGGCAGTGGAGGAAAATATCCAAGTCTCTCTCCTTTGCCATTTCCTCCTGAAGGAGAAGAAGTGGGCCAGACTACTAGTGGGAAAGAGGTATGGGTCATGTTATGTTTAGGGTGTACGCGGATGGTTAATCGGGCTACTGGTTAAAGGGGGAAGCAAGAGGTAAGATCCAAACTGGATCCATCACCAGGACCAGAGGTTGATTCCTCTGAGCTTTCGGATTCCTCCTGGAGCCCATCCTCCGGGGACTTCTCCCCATTGGAATATGTGCTTTGGGCTATTCTACGAGTTTCATTTATGTAGTGCCTTCCTATAGGTTGATTGGTGTGTTGCTGCCAGGCCCTATGCTCCTCTGATAGGCTGATAGTAAATCAGCACTCCTGTTGACCGACAAGGGGCCCATTTCCCTGGCTACAGTCATTTCCCCTGGCTGTTTTTATACTTGCCCCGCCAACAATCTTAGTAGCCATGAAATTGAATGTGTGTCCTTGTTCGTTGCCATGTTCGTTACCAATGAGTTTGGGTGTCCCCTCGTGTGATCGCTCCCTTGTGTTCTTGCAATCCCCATCTATCCTACCCAGTCGCAGGGGATCCAGTAGATTACTGTCGGGATTCTGGCAGTGACTCCCAATTAAACCATGATCCTCAAGCCACCCTCCCAGAACTTCTTTTGTTTTATTCGAAGTTAACATGCCGGCATTCGCCTTGGCGTAGATGACTCTGAGATACGTCATTCACTGTCACCCTTGGTCCTGTTTCCCCCCCCCCCACTCTTCTGGCAGTGGTGGGATTCAATTTTTTTTTTACTACCGGTTCTGTGGGCGTGGCTTGGTGGGCGTGACAGGGGAAGGCTACTGTAAAACCTCCAGTCAGAGGTGGGATTTGCCGGTTCTCCAAACGACTCAAAATTTCTGCTCCCGGTTCTCCAGAACTGGTCAGAACCTGCTGAATACCACCTCTGCCCTCTGGGTGTATCATCCAACGAAACACGTCCACAGCCAAGAGTCATCAATCATGCTCTCCAATTAGGTTTTTGCACAGCAGAAGCTTCAGTCATCTAATCAGTCTCTGAAGAAAATATGAATGGAATGTACTTTCGATTCCACACTGCCGCCTGCTCTTTGAAACTCCCCCTTCCTTCTTTCTGTTGTCAACTATAAAACGTGTATACAAAACGTTTTATGAGTTGATATTTACATTAGAAACGTCGCCCACCTCCAAGCGATCTTTGCAATGCATGATTTCTCCTCATATGGTCGCCTCTGGGCAGTATGCGATGCCTCCATTGCGAAGGAAACCTGCCGTATTGCTTTAGCCCTGTTTCTTCCGTAGAATCTGATAGGCGAAGCGTTGTTAGTTTTGCTTGGAGTTCAGTGGACCTCAAGAAAAAGCAAACTTATTCCCACACCAATTTTACTGAAGGGGTATTGAGGTCTTTTTTTTTCCCTCTTTGCAGGGATCCAAGGATCTCAAGGAACCCGGAGGGTCTTTGCAGATCGTGAAGCAGAGCGTGACCCAACCGGGCCAGCAGACGATGCTGTGGCAGGTCCTGCAGGAGGACGATGACGCGAATACAGATATTTTGGGTGAGGAAGTCGCCTCCTTGGCTCCAGAAGCACGAATTTATCTCCAAGCTGCTATTTTTTTCTTTTTTTTTTTTTTAGAATGGAAAGAGTTAATAGAAATTTGGGGCTTAACTTTTCTAGTCAGAACCCTTAAAACAAGCAAGGTCAAAACCAGAACCCTGATGAGACCAAACTAATCTTTTCTAGTAACATTGAGAGGTGTCAGCTGCTCTTCGCACCCCAAAACAAATGCCCCACCCCGCACCCCCAGTCTGTTAAAACACAGATCTTGCAGGTTGCTCGAGAGAGGGGCACTGCCTCCAGATTTTCAGAATGATTCTAGAGGACATGGGAGTTTATTTATTTTCTTGATTTGATTTGATTTGTCAATCGCTTACCAGATAGTAGGTATAAGTCTAAACATAGTTATGAATACATGAAATGGGTACATATAAGAAAAAATAAAAGAAACAATCGGACAGGGACGGTGGGCACGTTGGTGCACTTATGCACGCTCCCTACAGACCTCTTAGGAAAGGGGTGAGGTCAATAGGAGACAGTCTAAGGTGAAAGTTTTGGGGGTTTGGGGAAGAAGGAAATGGGGCTCCAACCTCCATATAGTAATGGATAAGGTTGGACATTTCCTCATGCATATGATGGGAAAGTTCAATTTTCTTTTAACAGAAAGAGTGGCAGAATTCTGGGGTCAAAGGAGGAATCAGCCTAAAGTCTGTATATAGCCACAAGTGACTAAATCCAGCCCTTCTTGAATTCCATTGACCCTATCCTAACCCCAAGTTGGTGCTAATTATTACTTGAGTAGATCCCTGTATATCAAGTAACAATCAGCACCATCTTGGGGTTAGGATAGGGTCAACAGAATTCAAGAGGGCTTGGACTTAGTCCCTTGTGGCCACATATATGGCATGATTGGTAATAAATCAGTGTAATCAGAATTATTGGCTCTTCACACCTGATAATTCTCTTTATGTTTGATGGCTCAGAGCTTCCCGAATTCTATAGAGAGATTATTGTGCACAGTCAATGGTGGTCTGGATCAGGTGGCTCCACTGTTTCTCCTGTCCAAGATGGCTACTCCTTCACCCACCGTGTTTTCCCTCTCTCCACTGTATTCCTAACTCCAGTTTTGAGGAACTCAAGAGGTCTTTTCGGGGCGTGATCCAAAGGGTGTCTGGATTTCCACTGTCCTCTCCCCCGTGCGCAAGCCCATGGCTCCTGTCATCTGGCAGAGCATTTGGTCTGGCCAAGATCTGGTCCATGAAGGTTTGATGGAACCTCATCATCATTTGTCAGATGCCTTCAGATCTTTTGTTCTTGCTTAAGGAGCTGTGGGGAGAGCTGTTGGCAGAGATGTTGGACAGTCATCGCAGGCCCAGAGATCATCCAGTTTTCTTCCCGGGGTGGATTTCTTCTGTCCTTGTTTGGAAAGGCCATGTTGTTCTTGGCGCAAAGGAGGCGATTGCAGGAGTGCCATATGTCTCTCAGATCGAGCTGTTTTTGCCTCAGTACATCAAGTAACCATTCCTGGTGCCAGGTTCCTCTTTCTCAAAGGGAGACATGGCAGGGATCTGCGAAGGCAGCCAGACCTCTTTTCCTGCCTCAAAACCAAGGAGCATTCAGCCATTAGGTGGAGAAAATAAAAGAAATCCAGATTTCTTCATCCAGAGGTCTGTCTTCCTCATCTTCCACTAAATGTGGGTTAATGAAGATCTCGGGAAGAGACAAGGAAATTTTCCTCTTTTTTTTCCCCTCTGAGATATTTGAAAACATTTGGCCACCACAGTGTAAAATAGATGTTGAGACTCTTGAAAGAGTGCAGAGAAGAGCAACAGAGATGATTGGGGGGCTGGAGGCTAAAATATATGTAAAAGATGTTCGCTGGAATTGGGGATGTCTAGTTTAATGAAAAGAAGGACTAGGGGTGACATGACAGCAGTCTTCCAATGTCTCAGGGGCTGCCACAAAGAAAATCAGTAAAAATCAGGCATCAGACTCTATGACCGTAACTTTGTCCCTTGTATCCCTAGTATGATTAGATGGTTTATTGTACCCTAGGACAATGACTATTATTAAGTGTTGTACCTTGTGATTCTTGACTCTTGAGACATGTATCTTTTGTTTTATGTACACTGAGAGCATTAATCAAGATTAATTCCTTGTGCGTCCAATCACATTTGGCCAATAAAAGAATTCTATTCTATTC